AGTACATTCAGAAAATCACTTCCTTATTTTCTGCTTACGCGCTTCTATATTTCATGACATACCTTCAGTTAAGTACACTGATAATGTCGCGCTTAGTGCTTCCTTTTTTACAGACAGTAACGTGTTCTTTTGTTTGTTTTGAAAAATGTACAATACATACTTCGCCACAAGTAAGAGACCACCATGATCTTAAATTAGTCTTGGTTTCGTTTGCTCTATTTTAGAAAACAATATTCAATGGCAATCCAAAAGGATATGTAGGAAATTATTTTAGGCATATAACGAAACTTTGCACAGTCAATAGTAAAAGAAATTGACAGAACTTGAAGTTTATCATTTTAAAAATCTAGAAAAAAAGGTTTTACTTCAATTGTCTTTTGTTAAAAGATTTGTCATCAAACCACCAAAACTTGTTATTTGGTCAAGAAGATAAGCTAGTACACGAGGTCTATTGACTATGATATATATCAATATCGGGTACAGCCATCCCACTTGTACATTTTATGTTTCCGCTGTCTCATTGACCAAATGATGAATACTGTTCAGAGGAAACCTCTGCTACTCATGCACTAATATAGTCCGTAACTCTTCAGTAATTTAGCATTTACACCGACGTTTTGTCCGAAGTTGTCCCACACATGCTCAGTTGGGTTGTCAACTGATAGGCATCGAAATGTGGCACAACTAAAGGACGAAGGATCTGGCATCGGTTCTTCTGTCAATGTTAAATGAAAGTTGCACGAGAAAGGCATTCTGAAGGTATGCCATATTTCTTAGTGTCCAAACACGGACCCTGCCGTCTGACTAAGGAACAAGCGTCTTTATCAGACCAGTGGACTCTACGCCAAGATCCTATAACACATGTCCATTGCAGTCTTGCTTATTTGTGCCTTACAGTCAACAGAAGACGTTTTACTGGTCTTCGAGAATAAAGCCGCCTACTGTTCAACGTCTTTTGACGTTATGCTGACTTACGCGAACATTGACTTTCTACTGTCCTCTTACCATTTTGACAGTGGTGAATGGGGTTCTCCCTAATGTCTACACAAAAGTCAATATTCTCTCCCTGTAGTGTTTCGGAGTCTGTCATATCTACGACGCTCGCCAATGTGCCCGGTTTAGTTCAGAAGCTGCATTAACCGCGAAATAACAGAATGGCTGACATAAACATGTGCAGTTTATTGCCTGTATGTCATGAAACCTTGAAAGGTGGTATAATTCACAATGTGATATTTTTTAATGTGCCTTTTTCAAATACTGTATGAGAACATGTATGATTTACAAGTAAAAGCTGATTTAGGAGGCAAAGTGTATCTCATGGTTGCATACAGCACCAAACACAGACGGCGACACTGCAAGGAGCACACAATCTTTATTTTTATAAAAAGGAAAACTCAGTTTTGTTAAAAACCATTCATACTAATATTGATGGTCACTAGCTTGTTACAAAGTATATACTGTGGTGTCCTTAGTGATATTGACCATTCCTTATATTGAATCAAAATTCCGTTAAAACATTGCTCGACTTAAATGAAAATAAAGGCATTCTACATGTCCCCGACAAAATGTTACGCCAATTAATCTTATACACGAAATAAATGGTCTGTGTCCTGAATGTTCATCATCTGATTTGATTGTGTATTTAATTCTTACCCCGTCGTGTATTTTCTTAATTCTCATGCAATATATTGAAATTTCGTTAGGTTTTCGTTTTTTGGTCTGTTCAGATAGATGCTTATTTCGTCTTGTTTTTTTTAGATTATAATTAGGTGATACTACTGTCCCTCTCCCAAGTTTATATATATGTACGTGAAACGGTCTTTCACTATTTTCCTTTCGCAGCGTAATTGACTTTAAATTTTGTTTGTTCAATCGTAGCCGTTCCGCACAGTTGAAAATTGATTGCATGCTCTTTTCGTTTGACCTCACAATTGCTACAAAGCCAGTACAAAGATAAAGCCCCCAGCGTTACTTTTATATATGGTACACACTTGAAAACCTTTAATGTCGAACCTAATTTAATGTGTTCGTCCATGTTGTCTACGGTTGATAATGGTTATTTTTTTATCGTGGCTACAATTTTTCGTTCCATTTCAGTTTTTTGTTGTCGCCGTATCTTGGTTGCGAGTGATATTGATTTTGTAACCCGTTATCATTTCCTGCTGTCATAGTTCCTTGTTTGTAATACAAGATATATGTTAGATCGTATTCATTCAACGGTCGGTACATTGTATGTATATAATAGATAGATATCAGTCTGGATTTTCTTATTGCGCGTGGACATTGAATTGAATTATCTCTTGTTTACGCGGGCATCGCACCATCAACAACGATAACATGAAAGGCGGTTGACGGGTCACTTATTAATCTTTAATATAATGTATATACTTGTTTTGAATAAATGCCAATTTATATTAAATCAAAATGTTAAGTACATATCAAGTTTGTTTGCATTATTTCGCTGCTATCGTTTTTTGAGCCCGGTGCTTTGCTTACGATATAGCTAAGAAAGGATTATTTTTTCGGTCTATGGAAAAGTACATTCCTGTAAACCAAGTCACAAAAGAGCATCCGTAAGAATGGGAAAAATATTGGCTGACGCTACGTAGTTCAAATGAATCAGATATTTGGATGGTATGCGTATAAACGTGGTCTCGCGACCAATATCGGCTTTCACTGCGTATGCATTTGTTATATAAAAGTACAGACGATCTTTAAACCTACTTCTTGAAATCGTGATGGGTAGAACTTAACATAACCTGACGTTTAAATTATTCTATTAAAAAATCGGATATTGGTGTAAAATCTCATTGCAGGAGTAAAGCCATTGCACCTTAAAATAAGTTCATCATTAGTTGAAGAATTAATTTATACTGACATAATTGCACATTGTGTTGTAGTGATGACTGACTAGGACAAATAACATTTTAGTTCGCACCGATTTAATATCAGTTTGTGTTTAGGAATACATCAGAGGTAAAAATCGAGTTAAAATCATAATTGTTCTTTGGACAAAAATCGGGAAAGTGTTCAGCACAGAATGGAAGGGACCTATAACAAGGTTGTTCACAAAAGTAGATTAGGAAGGTGACCGTATTTCTGCTTGGCGACACAAACACCTTCAATACGAACATTAGGGAGAATTTTAACAAAATAAAGAAATAAACAAAAAAAACCCAGTCAAACGTTTCAGTCATTGGTTTTCTTGCTACGAAAGGCAATAGAGCTTGCCCACATAAAAACCCTAAATGTCAGCGATCTTACTATTTATTACCTGCAAGTGTATTCCAAATAAGTCCTCACCTGTAGAAAACCGGCACGGGCTTTACTTCAAAGACCAGACAAATTAACAATATTCATCAAAACGTCTGTTATATTTACAAAATCAATTGCCCCTGCACGTAATGTGCTATAATTGAAAAGTTCACATTCCTGTTTACTAAAAATTCACAAAAAGAACATCTATTCCCTCGCTGTAAACGCTATTACCTCACGTGAAAATTATATTGCTCGAGAAAAATAAATAATTAACAGTATATTGATTGGTGATGACACAAGACTAGGCTTTTCTACCTTACGACATATATCATCACGTGTTTTTCTCTCTGCAACATTCCGCAAAATGTCATAATGATACGAATCAGATTTGATAACGACGAATCTAGCTGAGTCGGCTGAATTCAGACAGACCAATCAATGTAGGTTATGTAACCCTTGTCCCAGGTGAATGAATCGACATTAATGTCTGCGTCACGTGACTACAGTCAATGATTTATCACGTGATGCAAAATGATAGAGGATTCTGTAAGGTAAGCAATTATTGTGATTTCATTACCCGCAGGGGATTGTTGCGGGGGTCATCGCTGTGCGACTTGTCATTAAGAGTGAAATCTTCGATATGTCAGGTCAATTCGTCACATCTTCATCTATACCAATACTTTGGAACAGAATTTTCTTGGATTGATATTACGTTCGTCTGATAATGCAATCAAGATTAGTGTAAATCGAAATTTGAGGCGTATCGTCAAATGAAAACGCGATGTTCGAATATTATTCACACATCAGTAAGGATTATAGTTAATGTTTTGGCAACGTATAAATCAACCTTGACTAAATGAATAAATTAATCAATTACCAATACAGATTGTATTACAAAGTTGTAGATAGTGAGCCAACATCACCAGTCTTTATTAGATCACTTTCGGTTGTTGTCTCTATTTCCCCCTAGCTACTCATTAACCCATTTATGGAATGCAAGGTTGTTGCATGTTACGTGTGAGCGAGCCGTATTCTGGGACCTGTGTTCCACTAATCATTAATATTAAGGGCTTGTGTCGGCTCACTTTGTCTACCGCACGCATTAATAATTTTTTTGCGTTGAGTTGCATATCTGCAACGCAACGACTTTGATACAAATGTAGTTTTTGCCTGTTAACTTTGGATTCACAAATTGATCACAAAAAGGTGATCGGTTGTACATGATCGATACCTGTGTCTGTTTGTATGGTCTTTCCGTCAGTCTTGTGCTGTCTTTGTAACCGTACTATTGTATTAGAAGGTCGTAGTCATACCAACATCATTTCATAATTTTATACGCTTTTTATTACGACGACATAGCATATGCATTTCCCAAAAAACACGTTGAAGTTCTGTATGTTTAACTCGGCACTATGAGGATTTCATAGTTGATAAACCGCCTATGGTCATCATACGTTGAAACTTCATTTCTAGACTGTGTTAATTGCCAAACAAGACAATAATGACATTGGCTATAGAGGTAATTCACAACTGGATACATAATCTAACGAAACACATCCAAGATGTCGTATGTTTTCAATGCAGCGATGCATCACTTTACCATCATAAATCTCGTATAAATGCAATTTATGCATACCGTAGTTTTAAGAACATTTGTTCCTTTTTTTCTGAGTGGCATTATCTCAACTACAGCGAGACTTTAAATATTAACTAGAAATACTGTTTTTGTCTTCACAGGTAACATGGAGACGCTAGGCCGGTTTTGTCGTGCTATTGCAAGGAAGAAAACAATTGATAACAAGACATTAAAGGACTCCCAACTCAAAAGGGGACTCAACATCTTTGATCTGGTCGGAATAGGTCAGTATTGCATTCTTTAAATCTAGTTTTAGAGTTACCATGACAAACTACGAAAATAGATTTTCTTTCATGGGTAAAACGGTTGGTGACTTTCGCCCAACTTGCCTTTCTTATATCATATGGATCAGTCCTGAAGCAAGACTATGAATTGTAGAATATTATTATTACTGTTATTACAGTCTTAATGGCTCGTTAACACATAAAAAGGTCGTAAGGGCCATCAACTGGTAAAAACATACAGCGATCCAAAAACGAAACAACATAAAAAAAGGCAAACAACAAATGCTAAACATTTTAAAAAGTTTGTATTATCACGAAAGATTAAAATTGTAGAAAAGTTGGTTAAACGATTTTATGCATTGGATACAACGTCAAACGATTGGTGACGTCAGGTTGACATTTACCATACACTAACTGGCAATAGTGTTAATATCCCGAATAACGATTTGGTGCCGTGTTAATGGTGAATTCAATATGTCCCGTGCAGCGACTTTAGTAGTGTAAAAGGCCATGTTGGCATATACCGCTTGATATACTGTGAATGGTGAGGTCGGCATGTCCCGTATCACGAATTGTACAGTGCGTTGAAGTTGGTATATTCTGCACAGCGACTTGGTGTGCAACGGGTTGATGTTATGTTAATTATAAGGTTGTCGTGACCCATACAACGTTTTGTTAGTGCTGTGCTTGTCGGAATGACCCGCACAGCAACTTTATTCATTGTTAATTGTAATGTAGTCATGCACCGTATAATGCAATTCTACAATGCCGTGAGACCGGAATGTTCCACACAGCGACTTGTGGTGTTTGCGGTGAGGTCGACATATACAGTAAAACAACAGTTTTGTCAGTTTGACATATCGGGTACAACGTACAACTTGCAAAAGTGCAAGTCAAGTGAAAATGCATTAAGTTGTGAACAATCAAATCAACATGTCACGTGTTCTACAGTTTATGGTCAGACTTGTATTATTACTCTAACTATTCGTCAACATTAGCACGTGAACGGCGTGTTCTGTAAATACTTTTTTTGTTTTTTAAACAAACGTCAAATACCAAAGTAACTGTCACTAATCCAAACACTGTCATCTCATATTAACCTTTCTGGCCAAGTTTGAATTAATAGAAATTACGCTCAGAACAATAGTTTTTCCCGTAACGATTGGTACTTTTCTCCCTGCCATGGAAGAGATCCGAGTCCCCGATGTCATTAAATGAATACTCTTAGTGACGCAATACAAATACTTCAATGTGGAGTATTTAATTTTACCATAAATGGATCTTGAGAAGATTTTTGAAATCTGTAATTTGAGTTAATCCGATCTCTTTTGGGTCAGGATGTGCATACCACCAACCGATATAATATGCTAATTCCAAATGAGTTTGTCATATTTCTATTAGAAATCAAATGCAAATTTTCTTGTATATACCTTGATAAACTAAACACTCCCCACGACAAAAAGGGGTACCCGCGGTTCATGAATTTCATAGCTGCGATAAAGCATTTGATACTACCATACCTAGGTGTTAATAAAGTTTTATTTTGAAATTCAAATCATCAGCCCTGGTATCAACAAATATTGGATGCATACCATCACTTCACTATCGTATACTTATTATTCTTATCAAATTTGAAAGGAAACAGATTTTAAACAAAATATAATCGACATCAAATATTCACCTCTCATGGAATACTGCGATCCTGAAATTCACACTTCGTTGAACTACTGAGTGACCCTTACATTTATTCAAATAATATTTGATTCTACCACATCCGGGTATTGAAAATATTTTGTTCAATTCTACCTTGTTTGGTTCCACCCTTTAGCCCCAGTGGCTCACTCTGAATTATTTTGTGCATAACATTGCGCTGACATCCCATTTACACAACCAGAGCCATGTTTGAAATATTTACAATTGTAATTGAACAAGTAATTATTAAGAATTAAATTTCCAATATTAACTATAGTAACTTTTCCCTCTCGGGGTAATGTTAGACCTTTGGTCCATGAAATTTACAATTTGTATGAAGGATGTCAATACTCTTCCTTCCTTTTGTGATTTTGTGTTGCAACCATACATGGATGTTGAGAGAAACATTGGTTAAGTTTGATCTCCTACCCTTATCAAATTATTCACAAATTTGTTTTACGTTTGTCAAAGAAAGGTTTCTGAAAGTTGCATTGACATTGGTCCATGAGACAAAGTCTCAGGTGACCTACAATGATCAAATAATCACGGACACTTTACGCGATAAATGCCCTGGCACATAACACAAAACCAAACTCGGATGACAATATCGAATAATTACACCCCGCGAAAGTGCTTTTGATCACGAATTTTATTAAAAAGATAATATGCCCGCCATCGAAAGTCATACTCAAAATTTCTAGACAAAAAAAAAAAAATATAAATCTTGCAAAGAACGAGCCTAGAATGGCTCCTTAAAATCTACTTTAAGTTGTAGGTCAGCTGATATATACAGACGATAAACTAACTTAATGTAACCTTAATGGTCTTGCGGATGTGAAACAACTATTCCTAACGCACTAAAGGTCCCGCACTAATTGAGTTACGAGTTTTCCGTAAGCTGAAGGCACAAAACGAAGACTAAAGCTCGGTCAGTATAACAAATGAACATAATCATTGCTAACACGACATATGTCTTTTGATAATCGTCTCTGGCCAGGGACTAGGTATATATAACACTTACCAAACTGAAACACAATTTTCAGAATGGCTGGAAATGCGTCTATGACAACAGGTTTCAAAGTAAGGCTTTTGTGTAAAGGGTAGTAGATATTTTAAAACAATGTTCGGCAGGTTTACCGACAAATGACATTGCAAGAGTGGCTATATTTTCCCATATATCTCGTTAGCGCAGGTCAAGGTCGTGAAAGAGAACACGTTATGATCGGAATCATGTCTCCTCTGAGACGTAAGGCAAACACATAAAGGACAGCAGTTCATGTATGAAGTTAATGAAACTGCTGATACCTGCAAATGGAGCAACGTCTAGATCTCGATTTGATGTTCATACAACACAGACCTGTCCATGTAATTGTTTTAGTGATGGTATTCCACACTGCATGTGATTATCATGTGACTTTTGCTGCACGTGCTGGGTGACGTTAGCTAATTAGGTAGTGATAATGTAATTACATGTGCCATGCCGCACGATTGTTGTAATTTGAAATTCACAATAATCAAATTTAGATTTTGCTCCCTTGGGTAATTTAATTAAACGACCGAATTGCAGAGATGCTTGTAATTAGTTTTAGATGTTTGTTTTCGGTCTATTATGTGTTTGTCGAAGTAATATATATAGCGGATATTTATCACTGTCTGGTAACACATCCTGTCAGCACAACTCCCAGGGGCTTAACGATAACATGTTTCTATGATTGTCAAGAAAGGTCTCTCATGTTGACAGATGAGGGCTATTCCACAAAAAATGAAGACTGTTTGCTTTAGAGCTTCAACGTCGTTTGTTCTACATACTATTATTTTTTTCGCTTAATTCCGCTTCATTAGTTTGTTCACCAATTTATTCGTGTTGTTTTAACACATAGTTTCATATTATTAATCACCCTATTGTCATGTAACGCCTCATTATGTTTGTAAGGTTAGGGCATATGTCAAGTGCATATGTTTATGGCAGGATGCAATGCTGAAGTAAGTCTCCTTGTGATAGTCTTAACTGAAGCCTTCTTTGTAGTGCTATCATACTGAAGTACACTGCCGAAGGTCCCCGGTAAGACAATCCGCTCGATCACATAATACGGACACTCAGTTGGCATACCATTACAAATTCACCCTATTGTCACGTAAGGCCTCACCATGTTTGTAATGTTTGGTCATATGTCAAGTGAATGTGTTTATGGCAGAATGCAATGTTTGAGTAAGCCTCCTTGAATTGAAGCCTGCTCTACATTGTTTTAACTAGGAGGAGTGGCTACTTATTCAATTCGTTTCACACATTTCATTCATAATACATTAACACTATATCATGAATTTCCTGGGCACATGGGTATACGAGGCAATGAAACAGCAGATCGCGCTGCAATGGCAGCTTTATCGCTACCACCTGTTGTTTTTAAACTTCATTTTACTGATATTAAACCATTTATCAAACAATTTTTAACATCTCAGTGGCAGTAGGAATGGAATCAATATACCGATGTAAATTTCATTGCGTAAAACCTATCATCGGTGAATAGTATCCATGCTACAAAGCCAACCATCGCGACGAACTTGTCCTTGCCCGTTTTCAGATAGGCCATACATACCTTACACATTAATATATGTTGAAAGGCGAAGATAACCCTCGGTGCATGGGATATGATGCGCCATTCAAAGTTAAACATTTCATTGGACTGCATAGACCTTGTCTTTTTTTATTGTAATGTTACAAGTCTAAAGACCCTTTTTGAAACTGTTGAGATTTATAGAATTCAAGGTCATTTGAAAGATGTTGGTCTATATTAAAGAATATGACTTACCATTTTAGAGTATGGCTTCCCAGTTTAATCTTTTGTGATAATAACCATTTAGATAACCCTATAGATTTTTAGCATTTGCATTTTACCTTTTCCTTCGTTTTATGTTTTCGGCTCGCTGTGGCTTCTACCGGTTGAAAGCCCTAGTGACCTTTTGACGGGCCATTATAATGATAATGATAAATTCAGGATTTCTCCTGTTAACGATTCAATATTTTGTTCCTCATCGTTTATATTTTATTCAACTTATGATGGTGGGCTCTTCATGGCTGCCGTCCGTCTCGCCATACGACCGGACACAACTAGTGGCGTGCACTTTCGTTCATTCAACTTGTAGGTTTAATGATAAACTTTTAGGTATACAAGAAATTTCAACTACACTTCGTTGCTTACAAGAGATTTCTGTAAAAACAAACCCATTTAATGCAATCCACACGCACGCTAAGTACGGAATAAACGGGGAATACAAGACCCAAACACACTTGAACGAGTCTGTCCGTCTGTAAACCATTCTTTTCATCACTTACCTTCGAGAAGTACAGGGAGAATCTTTCACATTTGCATATAGATGTTCCTATTGATCGATAAGTTTGATTGTCGAAATAGATAAGGACAACTGTTGCCAGGCGCCAATCTTGAATTTTGACATGTACCTTTGTAATCGCTTTATCTTGTAGGCTCTAGATTATGTCCTTGATGTTGGGCCTGATCAGAAATATGCTGACAAACAATCAAATATCAAAAATATTATTTCCTTATTTGGAAAGGATTTTTTTATATCTCAAATAATAAAGAGTGAAAAAAGTAAAAAGGGGATGTATCGAACTTTAAGAACAAACGAAGACTAAACAATGGTTTGTGTTAATATCCCTCTAGGATATATTGTCATGTAAGAATTGTCTGTGATTAATGAATAAACTTCTGATCAATAGTTATTGCCGAATGTTAATCCTCATTCATTTCTTTCGTCATCCGAGCAACTGTTATATATGTAAACCGCTTACTGTTTCAGTATTATATTTGGTAGCAAGGTATTCCTTGATAAATCAACGGGAAAAAACATGTAAAGCTAGAGGTAATTGGTTTATTCCATTCCATAAATTCACGTTTTCGTCTCTTGCCAACTGATTGTCTGGGTCCATTTCGTCTCGCCGCTCCAAAATGCGATTGCTTAGTGACAACATCGTGTGATTTGACGTATCCAATAAGAATTGCGATTATCATTTTTTTTTTTTTTTTTTTTCATTTTTTTTATGAAATATTCTCATGCCACGAAACGTAAAAGTTGGAATGAAAAAATGGTCAAGAATTAATTACCTGATCAACTTTGCGTTCATGATATCATATGTTCCATACTGCATTGATTAAACCAGACGAGAAATACTCCTTTTAACGAGGTCACGTTGAACCAATATACTCATTTCTGAACGAGTTTCAACAAGCTCATGTGGAATCAGGAACGCTTTTATCATATAACAAAAGTTTTTTACCTTTCCATAAGAAAGCTGTTTTCGCAGAATCTTCATTTTAGCTGTTGCACTGTTACTTCGGTTATTGATCGATTTTGACAAAGCGTTTTATGACTAAGGATTTGATAAATTGCTAGTCTATGGAGATTTGCACTTACTCCAACGTGTACACAATAAACATTTCAGAAAGGTGGTGTAAATCAATACTAAGTAAATCGAGTAAGACATGAAAAGAGGTGTAATTTTTGTTACCCATAATTAATCTGAATAGATATACAAAATACAAATTGATTTGTATAACATGGAGCCTGATATCGATATACATTAACATAAATGCTTATGTATTTGTGCATTCAATGCATTGACTGAACGACTTCAAAATTTTATTTAAATTTAGACACTGAGCTAGCCATCTGTGTTTTTCGTCTGCACATGGCAACCAAAATGAATTTTTATTCGGCCAAAGATTAAAACAAAGATACAACAAATATAATAATGTGGTTGAAGAAAAGTGTCGTTCGTAAACGCACTTAATTGACTGATGACGCTACCATTTTAATCCGGTACATTCTTATTGGTTGAAGGTGTTGGTGGATCTCTAGGCATTGGTGTTTATGTGATCATCACCCACGTGGTTAAGCATCAGACTGGTCCTTCTACTGTGCTGTCCGTCTTGTTTTCTGGTGTAGCAGCTCTGTTATCAGGTAATGATACGTCTTAAGTCCAGTCCTACGTGATTCAACCATATCAATTATATACCCCACGCAAAATAAGCAGCGACGTCATTGCTACGATTCTGTGATAAGCTTGTCTATTTATTTAAGAATACACAAAAGAAAAAGTTTGTTAATCAAAGTTTTAAAAACTTTGTTGATTGTAAGCAATATTAAACTATACCATGTTATAACGTGTCGAACTACACGGAAATAAGTGTACTGCCTGTCAGCCACGACCACAGAATGGTCTATATGAAAAGTAATTATTGCTTTTGCATAAAACGAACACGAAGTGTTCGTCCTTAAATAGCACAACGTATCAAAGGAGATGCAGGTACAGGATCATTTTTATTATATTGCCATCTTTCTCTATTCTATTATATCACTCAAGGTATAAGCTCATCAAAACAGAAATAACATAAAAATACCAACATGTCAACATAATTATAATACGAAATCAAATTAATCTACGTAAAAATAGGAACGAAAGAAAGATTTAAATGCCTACTTCTGCCAAATTACAAGGAGAATAAGACCATATGTTCTGGGAAAGTTAGCGTTTTCTGCTTTATTGCCGACATTAGCCTTGTATACAACAATATTATTGAAGCCACAGTAGGCGCACAAATGGGTAAAACATCGAGCAAATTAAATGACGAGAAAACTCCCACATGTAAAGCTTCAAAACGTTTAAGGTGAAAACGTGAATAAAAGCCTAATATTTTATGATATGAGAGAACTTTCGTTCACTTCAATAGTGTTCATATACAGATTGTATTTGACACTGCCGCTTCAGTTTGCTTCGGTTTGTCAATAATTGTTTTATGAGTAATGGTCATGTTATCATCATACAATAATACCGCGATTAAAACTATTAATGTGTATTTTATTGTCCAATAATACGAGATTTTCTTCATAAACAGCTTCATAGGACATAAATCAGGCATCATATGTACAAATGGATTCATTCAGCTGAAACACTACCGTTTGTAATGCTGTTAATGTGTGAGCCATTTGTTTAATTGAAATATCGGAAGTCTTAGCTTTTGGTGATGAAGCTGAGGTGTAATCATTTTCCTGACTATACACTCGTGTATTTTGTTGTATCAGAGACATAGATTTATTCGTTTTGAATTACTCAAATATTCTATATTGTTGTAACATTTTTTTGAGGAACGAAACATTCTCTCATTCAGGAAATATTGGATTTTGCTGAGGGAAACTACATCAGGTCAGAACTACAACTTATATAGTTCTTCTTCGCAAATAAAAACAAAGGATATTTTAGGAAAGTTTCAGTATTATACAATATAACGAGTTAATGTGTGTGCTGTTAACATTCGATTAAAAGTATAGACGCTAGAGATCTCATCATCCATCGCCCGGAACCTACCAATCTGCTTCTAAACATTATGTCTTGCGGACCAAGTTTACCATATTGTAGTGGATAAGATATACAAAATGCAAACTGAAAAAAAGTTTCTATATAAATCAGCGGGAGAGCCATGGCTCAAAGAGCAATACAACTGCTGTAGATATATATGGTCGCAATATGGTGTCTTAAGTCAATTCAGTAAACGCAGCGAAGGAATGGAGAGGGAGGGGCAATAACGACAGAAAATAATTTGGTGCCACTGCAGATAATGTAAAAACCTGTACTTATCCTTCGGTTGTGATGCCGTAATAATCGGCCAGCGAAAAGTTACCTAACATATACATTTACATATGCATTTCTCATCAAAAGAGAAAAAAGAATGCAACGCGGTGCTTAGAACTGGAATTCGATGAACTGCATTGTACTGTGTACATATCTAACATGTTAATTGTCGAATATTCGAGAGAGGTTTATCCAGCGAGCAGATAAATATGTCTGGCATTCGATGTGATTTTCAATGAAGGAAGTATTGAAAACCATATTTTAAATCGCATCAGAAAAAAAATAAATAAAAATAAAAAGGGATATGTTAAAAAACGATATGGAAAACAACCTTTCCAATGTACTCCAAAATGGCGGAAATCATTTCATATTTGAAAAAAGAGTATATATATCGTATCATAGACATCTTTGAAAATATAAACATTTTTTGCTTCTTTAAACATTTCAGCCATATGTTATGCCGAGTTCGCCATGCGTCTTCCACGTGCAGGCGGGTCTTACCTATATACCTACGCCGTGCTCGGAGAATTGTGTGCCTTCACTGTAGGATGGACAATGGTACTAGAGCACATCATAGGAGCAGCAGCAGCGGCCAAGGCGTGGAGCCAATACTTAAACGTACTGATGAACGGGACGGTCGATAGGTAGGCAAAAACACGAATTAATAGGTATATGGACTTATTTACTTATTACGATACATTAACACGGCATTGAAATATGGTCCTGATTATTTTAGTGAAATGTTCAAAATCTCATCATAAAGCCATATATGATGTTATCGACCATGCTATTGGCTTACAGAAGAGGTGCTCGTTTAAAGTCGGGAAACCCGAATGTTAAGTTTGACCGCGGACTTGAATGGAAATGTAAGGACATAAATGTTGGCTTCTGCGTTAGAAACAAAATTGGAACTTTTTTTTTTAATATGAATTACAATCGCAAATAAATCACACACAACAAAATTATTATAGAAGCTAGTAACATAGTAACTCCTTTTGTAAATATCAGTATTTTTGTAGGATCTTTTCAGGCGAGTCCGGAACACATTTTACTATACTAAGATATATAGGTGGTCCTTAAAATTTGGGTGAATCTCATGAGTTCAGGACTCAAATATCTGAGTCTCAAAAATAATTGGGTATTGCAATGTACATGTAAGTAATCGTCATATCATTGTATTTTCATTTCATTAAAACAGACGTCGGCATCTTATAATGTAAAGTATCTGGCGAACTAACCTAAAAATGAAAATGAAAGCGACTCTTCACATATGATGTAATAAGGGTGAACTATGAACTAAAGAAAGGTTTACACGAAGAAGAAAGACATTGTTAGTGGTCTGTGTTACAGTGCCATGGGATTCTTCTATATGAAATTACCTAACATTCATCTCTTGAAACGCATGATCGCTTCGACGTCACAATCCGCGGAATGATATGCGTGACAATGTCACATAAGCCATAGAAGACCCAAAGATTAACCACGAACGTCAAATTACACATAACTGTTTAACCTTTGTGTAACATGCGTATCGTTATTGGTGTCCATTCCAGCAAATCCCAATAGGCACATCAAAACGTGTTGTGTCAGCGTTTGTAACGACAAGACTGACAAATTTGTCTCTGGACCTATAACACATGATCAAAGGTTATCCACAACTTTGTGGTTCACGCAAGGGACGAAATTTTCTGTGAAATCCAACTTATGTCAATCGCGAATCTGAATACAGGTCATTAACGATGTATGAAACCTAAGTTTTTAAATACTATGTTATTTATAGTTTTGCTTAAAAGCTTTAAAGGGAACTTGATATGTGACTTTTTGTAGAAATGTGTGTAAAATAAATAACAGCGTGGTTGACGTCATGATTCGAATGATAACTTTGTTAGTCTGGTTTCCCAATAAAAACACAAAGTCTTTTAAGGTTTAATTGAAAATTATCGTCAAATAAAAACTTAAATTTCATATCTGAAAAAAAAACTCAGTTTTGGTTTGCATTTTTGAACTCGTAAATACGAATGCATTTTACATTACATATTTCTAATCAGTCAATCAAAACTGTACAAATGAATGATATACAGAGGCAGTCATACTTCAGTCCGTGGTATACGTAAATTCAAATGGAAATCCGAGGTACGTGGCAGTTTGTTTGTCGGGAAGGTGAGAAAAGGATCTGTCTCTGTAGTCTAATTGCACTAGTTGGCATGAAACGGCTTCTTGTATGTGGTTCAGTGAGGTACGTTTAGCCAGGGGCCATAACATGGAAACATTCGCACACAAAATGACCAAGGTCGCTCATGTGGCGATGAACGCAGCAATCATGTTAATGAAATGGATTGTTTGTTAAAGAAGGCATCGAATTCCCGATAAAGTCATAAATATTACATTTGATCAGTGGTCTGAAACTTGCATCGAAAAAAATGCATCAACGTATCATTTGATCGTTTTCAATTACCCTCTATAAATTAACATTTCTTGAAATCGATTGAATTAACCGAACATTTTCCGAAATTTTTGCAATGTACATCATCAAAATAAAGTGCTTTGTTAGATAAATTATCTCAAATTGCATTTTAAAATCAAGAGTTTCACTCAGTTTTGTCTCTCAGTAATAATATACGACGAATAATTCATCGTTCATCAATTTTCTTTTGCCATTTCCTTATATACAATTCAATCAGAATAATTCATTTCTTAATGTAATTGTCACATGTTGCAAGGAAAATTTGTTTAATTGGAATTTATAAAATTAATTATTTAAATAAGCGTGTTTCAAGACAAAGAACGTAGTTTCAACATTGTTTTAATTATAATTGAAATACGCATATTCGAGAGATGAATCATGAAAATGCGCATGTTTACCAAACATTTAAAATTAAAAAACAAAGAACAAATGGTCTGATACTGTTCTTAAGACACATAAATGAAAAAAAACAGCTCTTTACACAAGATATTTAAAAATGCACATTTAAAAGCAAATTTAGATACAGTTAAGCCAAACAAAGAGGCTTCAACACAGCTGATTCGTTGACAGTGTTAGAGGTCTAAATATAAAACTACAGAGGGTAAATGGAAAATCCAATCCGATCGAAAGAAATAATACTTAGATGGAGAGGTGTACTAGTCACATCATGCAAAAAATGCATAAGTTATATCTAAAAGATTGTCAGGTGTATATATGTATCTCTATATCATATGTACATCAAATGATGGCACAAAACCTATAGAAAAATCCATTTTCTTATTGCTATTAGAACAGCTTTACAAATATGCAAGAAGGAAATTACATCCGTTGGAAACTAGAGTCATGTTATTCCGAACAGACAAGACTGTGATGATGGAAACTGCCGCCCGTTGTAACAATGTAGACGGTAATAATTCTTTTTCCGGTGATTTAAGATACAAGAAACGTGATAATTTGACTTACGATGGATTCACAGCTAAGACCTTTAATAATTGAAAACAATTGGGGTTTTGTCTGGTGTTACTCTGCCATTGATCTATCCCGAGCTTTTCCGTATACAAGTATCTTAACGTTGTTTCCTTCACATAATCTGAATCAAACGCAGCAACAGGGAATCAAGACATAATTCGAGACAACTTCTACAATCATGGAAGTTCATACTGAATTAAATGTCAAGTACGCTGATTACACTGTCGCATTTCCATATTCTATTGTCTTTATTCGCAGCCGAATCAATTCCACTTGAATTATTTCGTGCTATCACATAAGTACCAGTGTATTCTTTTTAAACTTGATTTTGTGGCGATTGAGGAACATCTAAATTGATTGGAAAGAAATGTCAAAATCTAAAATTGGGGTTGAGGGTTACACTTGATCCGATATCAATACTTTTTCGGAATGTCAATACATATGATTATTTGAAAGGACATAACGCACGTGTATATTATGACCCGCGCCCCTATTCGAATAAATTGAAACGCGGTATGTGGGTTTCGACAAACCTCGCGGACAGCAAGTTTGATGACAAAAAAGACATAAAGATTTACAATTATCCCTTAGATTATAAGTAAGTTCTTTTAACTTCCATGTTGCTATGGAAGTTCAGCGGTTACACGTACATTTAGCATTACGCAAGGCTTCATGGCCAATATAGATGTAACAGCTGCTGCACTGAACTTTCATAACACCATGAACGTTTTACAAAAAGTTTAATCTATAATGTTATATCACTTTTTTCACTTAGAAATTCTAAGCAAGCGACAAGCAGTACAGAAAAATAAAGCTTTCAGCAATAACAAGCTTGATGTCATTTGGTGTTTGTCAACAATAAAAAAAATATAGACCGGTTGAGAAAATTTAGATTTATAGTTTTTTTAATTGTTTCTTTTGGATAGTTTGTACTTTCTTATTGGGTACAATAACAGATAAACATATTTGTAATAAAAACGTTAAAAATAATCCCCGATCATCAGTTTCATTCACACTGTTCAATGGCACGGTTGATACTGCTATGATACGGCTCCGCCAGCCGGCTGTAACCTGTTTGAACGTGTGTGTCAACTGCGATCTGAAGTCAAAGCTACATCCATGAACTCGTTATTTGTCAGAATTCCAACGTTTGTGTTAATTGCCCAACAATATATCATCATCTGAAATTATTTCACCCTCACCGAGTCCATTCTAAACCAAGACAGGTGTGAGGGATCCTCAAAGTACCGTTTTCTGTTATTGGCTTGTCTGCTTTGTCCGTCACGATCTATGTTCAGGCCAAAGACAGACGTGACGATATTTTGTTGTTCTTATAAATAAAGACAGAAAAACTTTTTTCTGTAACTTCATACACTTTCTTTTTTTAGCATTTTGAAAACATTTAATTTTTGTATTATTTCTCGGTTAGGCGAATGACATTTTTTCTGTCATGCATTATTTATGGGGTGACAGCGCAAATGTAAATATATGTGTATGAACATCATTTCTATGAAATTTCTAAAAATTGATTTTCGCTCCGATTATGTGTTTCAGAAATTGTTATTGGAAAGTTATTAATTACTCCATTTTTGTCTGTCTCTATAGATACTTCGAAGAACAGCTTCACTGGTCGTTAGGTCCCGGTGCGTCAGACAGCCCAGATATTGTCGCTTGTGCTCTCGTAATTGTTGCCTTGGGTATTGTCATTCTTGATGTCAAGGTAAACACATTCATATTTCTGCTAATTGGATAGACATATTAGAATACGCCATAACATAAACAGCCTCGTTTCACAACAGCATTTCCGTTTCTTGTAACAGTTAACATGATGGTTTCATTGATATGATTGAAGCAACCCGAATAAACTCATACTGGAGGGAAAGTAAGAAATAGAGAAAAAAAACTTTCATAAGAAGAGAGAAATGAGTTTTTCGTGTTAAACCATTGTACTGAAGTACTGAACAGTAAGATCGAATATTATTTTAGTTACTAGAATCAAGATATTTAAAAATGTTGCTGTGGGTTTTAACAATTGCGTGGTACTTCATGCTTATTCAGAGTATTTTATCTGTTTGATGTGCAGGTTTCTGCAGTAATAAGCTGTATATTTACCTTTATCAACGGACTCGTGATCCTATGTTTGATGTGTGTTGGCTTTTTCCACGTTCGACACGAGAACTGGACGGACCCGCCGGGTTTCTTTCCCTATGGCTTTACAGGGGTAAGTAAATGTTATCATTGTCCTGCATGTGTTTGAGAAGGACCAGTGTTTCCAATATTCCCCAGCACAGCAATATACAAATAGTATATCATGGTAACTGTATCTTATATAAACCATTAACGTCACATGATAATTCATTATCTACGTTGAAATACATACTTCACCATTATGTGCACTTGATATGGTTTAATAGGGGTCAATCATACAGTTTTAACATTTATATAATAAGTATACCAAATCACATATTGTAGAGTCAACATCTTATAAATAACTAATTAAGTTTCAATCTCTTTAGTCCTTGAAAATCATAAACTAACTTTCGTGTCCTTAATTTCGAAACTGAAATCGATGAAGCCAATTGCATCAGAAAGAAACCGACATCTTGTGATCTCTTATGTATTACAGACTAGGTAGGGACAAATTAGGTGTTGCTACAGTTATATAGTCGAATCAATAAATTACAACAAAGCTTAATTTTAAGCGACGACAAATATAACTCTTCGATAATTTCCTACTACAGAGTCACTGGTTTACGATGGAATAACTAGCTCTCAAAATCATCGCAGACTCTTTGATACAACACTATAATCAAGTATAATCAAGCTTGCGCAATCAGCGATGTATTATAATAATATATCGTTTTCTTTCTGCAATTATATCTAAATCAATGACTAATAGATTACGTACCTTTTCAAAAAAACAGCTGAGAAAGATAAATCTAATTTACGATATTTTCGATAGAACCGAGAATAAATCGTGATATGAATGGTAATTTTTATGCAAATTATCCCCATACCGACGACAATGCGGTAGGGGCAAGTACGGATGTACAGCACCAAAGGCAATGAGGTGCGGCTGGTTATTCTACCTACGCCGTCTCTCACAATGACTTCATTTAAATCAGGATTGATCGATCTTCCATTCGATCGCAAAGACTGGTTTATCTGATTGATGCCAGACACGTTTTATTCTGTAGAACTAACGAAACGCACTAATGAAAGTTCAATGAAACTAACGAAAATAATGAAAAGACAAATTGATAGAACTAATGAAAATCATGTTATCATGGAGAGAAAGGGAAACCCGACGAAACTCCGGAAGGGTTTTCCGGGCCCGGGCTTAATGTAATGTAACAGTTGTCAAGTCTTCCGCTTAATAAATAAATAAATATGCATGATCTTCTTATATAGTTATATATATTACGTGTCTGTTAACAGCTTTGTTCAAGTTTACAAGGGGACTAAAACTTCAAGAAATACACTAAAACCGCTTATGTCTTGAATAGAACTTACCAAGAGATTTCAAATACTTCCAAATTATAAATAAGTATGATGACACGTATTGTACTTGTATCTAGTCTTTCTTGGCCATTGCATATTATTGTATACAACGACGATATTTAACGAGAGGTTCGGAGCGTCAAAAATAACTGATGCATATTTAAGTGGTAATCTTATTCTATTCTTCTTTTTAATTATGTCTATATATTGATGTAATACTTTGTGTTAAAGCATTGTTGTGACACTTGTGTAGTAAAATACATTTTGATAAACTGTCACGCTTACGTCAAAAAAAGTTACAGAATCCATCTATGTTAACAAAACTATGAGGGCAGTAATTATAATACTTAAACGTCGAGTAATTCCAAAGTTTGTCGGGTTTAACGTATGTTTGAAAGTAAATTGAGCTCGTAAGAAACACGTGATTTTCAAGAAATATGCTACTATCCCCTTAATGTATATTTATTATGGATATTCTGCCAAGCACGCAATATTGTCTCTCTGATCATCCAGGTTGTGAAATAAAACTGTTTAATCCAACAATTAACTCAGATTAAAACAATTTATCATATGTTATTGAATTTTATTTTATTTAAGAGCCCTAAAAGCGATAAGCGGTCTCGAGACCTGATTTTAACATATATCGAGGGTTATATATTTATATGCAGCGCTAGAATTGGTAAGTCCTAAAATTGTTTTATTGAATTTTGAATTTCTTCAGGCACAGAAGAATTACACAATATGCACCTGAGCGAATGCCTTTCTTGCAACCATTGTTGACAAATCTGGTTCTGTACTGTCAGAGTTGTACATGGACCAATATTATATAGATTTTCCCATAACGAAATAAATCTCATTTCCTCTTGGATGTGCTTTAACTAATTGAAAGCAGTTTAAAATCGAGAAGTGAATGCAATGACGCTCAATTTCGCTCTTAAATTATTCTAATAGATCCCATCACTTTCCAGTCAGAATTTAAAGTATTAACTGCATTCCTTACAATATATCTGTTGTCAAATGACCGACACGTCCCAAGCTATATTCGCGATAAATAGCTACTCTATAAACCTTAAAAGATATATTTTATTTTGTTGTTTAATTAGATACAGTAATATTCCAAATAAAGAAATCATGCATTAGGCATGCTTGATGGTATTGTTTGATTAATGAAATTTTCAAATGTTCGATCTTGGATGAGATCCGCTTTCAAACTGCGCTGGATTTTAAGTACAAATAAACCCAATGAGTCGGTATTATGCGTGTGCATTCAATAGTGGTGGTACAGCTTTATGTCTCTTGATGCTAGCTGACAATGCTGACCAACCTACAATAATGAAAAGAGTTGTCGATCTCTGTCAAATCCTACAATGAATGGCGCCACGGTGGACTGTTTGATGATGAAAACAGCTATAGAAATGTCCCTAACCTCCACTACATCCTGGCAATAAACTTGATCGAGCTAACATTTGCTGTTAATTAAAGAAATTGAAATAGATCAATTCAAAATAGAAGTTGTCCACTAGACTTTGTTGAAGGTGCACTCCAACCGTTACTTGAAACTGGCGAACAAGACAAATAGTAGGTCAGCAACACGGGTTACGATAGCACAACCAAATCAATGCAATTTTCTGGTATATTCGGCTAACTTATTTAGGATTTAGGGGAGGGGTTCCATTGAGTGTAATAGCGGTGACGCATGTGGATGTGTAATTAGTGACAATTTATTGAAACAAACCCAAGGTTTATGTGCCATGTGCTACGACATTTAAAAGAGTTGACAAGTGTAATGCTATTTTAATGATGATTAAGTAATCACTAAGGGCTATTTATAATGATAAATCAGAGTTGCATTGACCCCAGAGCAGTGGAGTAAGGCGGGACACAGGCCTGAGAGTATTAGCACAAGTATATGTTAAACAAAAACTTCTTTCTTTAGTGGTAAATGACACTTAACTAGAATGGTAAGCTGATAAACAAACTGATATCAATTACAACGACGCAGTTATTTTGTTCTTGGGAGATCTGAAACGACAAAATTTAATCAAAACCATCGTAACTACAACAAAATCCAACAAAAGACGTCAGTACTGACAAAGCAGCCCGATATCCTATAAAATCCATAACTATAAAATAAAAGTCAACACCGTCCAATAGTAGCTAAAGAAACAACAATTTCGTCCAATGAAATCCGTAATAACAACACAATCCTATAAAATCTATGGTAAAAAGACACCATGCTGTTAAATCAATCGTAACAAAACCATCCTTTAAAAGCCTAAATCACAACGCCATAGTCCTTCAAATGGCGTAGTAACAGCGACAAAATTCTATAAAAATCAATAGTAAAAACGATTTTATCAGAAAGTAGCCAGATAAGCAACGACATAAACACTTGATAACAATGACATAAAATAATCCCATAAAATCCCTGATTACAATGACAAAATCCAAAAATGCCATAGTAAAAACGACCAATCCTGATGAAAACCATGCTAACATCGTCATAATACAATAATGGATATACCCAAGGCTGCAAAAATAGTGGTTACTTCTCTGCTTAACATTCAGAAAGACTGGTTCGCATGTTGAGAAGATGACAGCATTCGGTAGTATACTTAAGTGAAGTAGCACTTAATAAAGTTGGCTTCGTTTCTTCACTATCACAGGAGGCTGATATGAACACATCGCAGTGTGTCGAAGTCATGCAGTTGCCAGAGTCGCAGGCGTAAGAAATGTACCAACAGCACCATTTCTTCACCGTTAAAGACGACTTAACTTGGAATCTGTATTTTTTTTTCTTTTTTTCCAAAGATCCTTATCCTCCCTATTATCTCCCTTCACATGTTTAGAAATGAGTTGAGTATTTTCCCCTGTGATGAAGACTCTTTCCACAAAGACGTAGTGCTTAACGTTCAGCATAATGTTAGTGTAACGACAGGTTCATCCGTTGTCAGTATAACGTGACCTGGTGGGCTGTCTTGATCAAGGCCTACGGTAGTATACTGTACCTTAGAGTGGTAGCATTATCAATATCCAAATATGACCAAAGGTTATTATTATTTATATCATTATTATCATCATTATTATTACATTCTTAACGGCATGTCAACACATAAAAGGTCATTAGGGCCATCAAACGGTAAAAGACACAACGATCTAAAAGGAAACATTAAACAAGCCAAAAGGTAAAAGACAAATGTTAAAATTCTTTAATCGGTATGTATACACAAAAGATTAAAATGCTACGTCATTGTCTATTATATAGAACAACATCTTTCAGGAAATGTAGAATTTAACAAATCTCAAAAGTTTGAAAAAGGGATTTTAGACATTTAATGTTAGGATCAAAATAATCTCGAGTAGAAAGAAGGTTAATGCAGTCCAATAAAAATGTTTAAGGGTGAATGGCTCATCACATCCTATTCACCAAGGATTATTTTCGCCTTTCAACATATATGAATGTGTAAGGTATTTATGACCCATCCGAAGACGGGCAAGGACAACTTAGTCATGGTGGTTGTCTCTCTGACCATTCACCGATAACAGGTTTAACGGAGTGCAATTTGTTTGATATAGGTATTCCAATCCTCTTGCCACTGAGCTTTTGAAATTTGTTTAATAAATGGTTTAAAATCAGTAGGTGGTAGCGATAAAACTTCCGTTGCGGCACGATCTGTTTTTTCATTGCCTGGTATTATCATGTGCCAAGGAACCCAGCAAAAAGCAAAATGAAAGTTAAAAGCAAGTTCATGATATAGCATTAAGGTATTACGAATGAAAATATTTTAGATATTTCTATTGCTAAGACTGTGCAGTACAGAAAGAGAGTCTGAATGGACAACTCTCAGCACTTTGTTTCTTTGAGTATATTTAAGAGCGAGGTAGATAGCTCTCGCTCCTGCCGAGAATATTGAGGCGTTGTTCGGTAGCCGGCACCATAAGTTTCATCTTGTGTAACCATGGCCGCAGCAACCTTATTATCTTTTGAACCATGAGTATATGAATGTAAAAATGTTTCATATTTTAACTGCGATTTCGAGAAGGATGAACGAAAAGTGTAACTGTCTGTGTATGATTCATTAAGTGAAAAGTCAACTTCTGATGAATTCATAAGCCAGAGTGGAATTTCTATCGTTCCAAATGACTGGAATTGGATTAACATCAATATTTGTGTTTTGTAAAAGAGCAGAAATTCGATTACCAAATGATGGAATAGTTTTTGGTTTGCCTTGAAACAAGGTTTTGTATTTTAGGTCAAATACAGGGAAAAAGCAGGATTTGAAGGATTTGACCTTAGCTGAATGGTGTATTACAAAGCCATTTTATTTCGACGGCTATATAGTAATGATTCTTTAGCCTCTACAGAGAGGCTTGCTGTAGGTGTGGTATTTAAAGCTCCGAGAGCGAGCCTGAGACCTTGGTAATGAACAGATTCCAATAATTTTAAATATGAAAGTCTAGCAGATCCATGCACGATGGAACCAAAGTCCAATTTTGGTCTAATAAGGGCTCTATAGAGTCTTAGCAAAACTTTTCTATCAGCTCCCCAATCAGTGTGGGACACAAACTTTAGAATATTCAGTGCCTTAAGATATTTGGCTTTAAGGTATTTTATGTGTGAAAGGAACGATAATTTCCTGTCGAATATTACACCTAAGACCAAAGGTGTTGAAAGGACATTAGATATAAGACCAAACCAGTTCAACCCAAACCAGTAATAACAGATAGTGATATGACCGTGACATTTACGCGTCAATGCAATATAAGCATAACAACGGTACAAGTGTTCTGATTCCATATGGAAATATAATTTAAATTAACTAGCGATTCCGTATTCGAATATATGCAAATAAAGACACAGAATATCGTTGCTACAAGAACGCTTTCAAAAGCTGTGACAATTTTTTCACTAAAATCCCAATGACATCATCATGTCCAAGGACTATTGTATGCGATCAAAGTAAAACCGAGTCCAAAGTAAAAAAAATAAAGTGGAGGCTGTACAGATATGGTGCATCGAAAATAAAACTAAGCTTTTATTATTATTAGTCTTAACGGCCCGTCAACACATGAAAGGTCAATAGGGCTATCAACCGCTGAAACACACTGTGATCCAAAAAGAAAAAAAAAACATCAAACAAACTACAAAAGGTAAAAGACAAATGCTAAAAATCTTAAATGGTTATATTATCACAAAAGATTAAAATGGTAAGTCATAGTATATTATATAGACCAACATCTTTCAGGTTATGTAGAATTTTATCAATCTCAACAGTTTCAAAAAGGGTCTTAAGACTTGTAACGTTATGATAAAAAGTTCTCGAGTTGACAGAAGGTTAATGCAGTCAACTAAAAAATGTTTTACGGTGAATGGTTTATCACATCCTGAATTATCCTGGATCGTGGATTGTCTTCTCCTTTAACACATAAGAATGTGTAAAGTATGTATGGCCTATCCGAAGACGAGCATGGACAACTTCGTATCGGTGGTTGTCTCTTTAGCAAGGAGACCATTCACCGATGATAGGTTTTACGGAGTTTATTGATTCCATTCCTCCTGCCACTGAGCAGCTAAATCAGTAAAATAAAGTTTAAAACAATAGGTGGTAGCGATAAAGATTCCTGTGCGGCACGATCTGCTTCTTCATTGCCTGATATTCCCATGTGCCCAGATCTTAATAAAAATGGAACTACATTTAAACAAAAGATAATAACGTTAAGCAAATATTATACTGAAGAGATTATGAAAAATATTACAAGAAGTGTGAATACGACATGATTATTTCAACTCAACATTTTGTTTTTGCTACACATTGTTCCAACAAAAGGAGAAAAATAACCTTTCGATACGTTTAATGATATATAAAATCAAAGGGTTTCCTAAGTGTACATTGTATATTCATCAACTAGATGTATCTTTTTGTGTCAGCAATCTTGTATCGTCAAAAAGGAAGTTTCATATCAATTTAAAAATATAAAACCATACCCTCGCGTGACTTGTTATGGCAGTGTCCGGTTGTGTTTCGACAACTGTCATATTGAAAGCAAATCATAATCACTGATCAACATTTATTAGGCCGCATGTCGTTATTCAGTCATAACTACACGAGTTTTCCGTTTAATTTTCCATCTGTAATATTGTAATGTGCGATCCTATCGCAGTTGTGCGCTAGATAGTGTATCGTGCGTGTGTGCGGATAAAGTATGCACGATGTGCGGACGATACACGATTTGCACAAGAATGTTTGTTGTGTGCTGTGTGATAACAACATGATATATAATAAAAAGGAAAAGCAAACACTTATCAATCATTGAAGTTTGATAAATCCAAACAGGTATTCCCTTGTAGCATTTACAAATAAAGATGCAAATTGTATTCATGCATCATACCAAACACTTCAATGATGAAAAAGAACCGAAACATGTTTAAATGGGAAACGGTGTTAGTTAGAAAGGAACATTACCTTTAATGTAATATGCCATCGGGGAATTAGTATTGGTTCGTGATTTTTTGTCAGCTGTAACACAGTCCATTAGAAGACATAATAATGTAATTCTAGTTACTCCAAGGAACGGATGACAGGGGTAGTTCCGTTGATGCGTTCAAGTGAAACAAGAGCAAAACGTTTCTGGATGCATCGATCGAAATCGATCAAAATCTTAATTATGATTTTTATGGTGTGACACAACGTCACTAACCTGACGTTCAACTCGATCCAAATCTTAATAAGAAGATTAATTTGAAAAGAATCATTTCCATTAGTCTTTAGATTACAGGAAACATGTTGATCCCTTTTCTACTTCGTTAAAACTTCAAAGCAATTTTCTGACAGGAAATACAGAAATATTCGAGACTCGTTAATACATCCACACGTACTTTTTGATTTTATAAAGATTTTACATGATAAACATAAAAGAAAAAGCAACATCTATTCACATTAGAAAGTTATTAAACCATCATCATCCATAACTGTCATTTACATGTATCCTCGTTATCCTAGTGTCTAACCACAATAACAAATCTGGTTACATCATAATTAAGATATCGCGTACTTGGATATCTCAATGTGTAGCCACAACTAACTTGATTTGTAGACAATCTAAACACATTTAACTTGATTATCAGACAATGTTAGCCAAGTTATCAACTAAGCAGGTTAACCCATGAGTTAGAGTATGTTGGTCATATGATAAGGCTAAGTTATCATTAACATGATGTCTCACATTATCTACACATGCATTTACCGTTTACCCATTATTACCACTATCTAGCTATCACAAATGCTATTACCACACAATAGTTCATCTAACGATCCATTTTATAATTGTTCATCCAACCTGCTACCACTTGCCTGGTAAGTGATTAAAAGGACAGGTTAAATAACTGAATTGTCTTTCTTTAAATCCCAGGTTATTTTCAAGGAAGGAAAACACTAAAACAAAATATAACTGGGGAATTTAAATGTCATAAATATCTGAAGAACTAACGATAAATACGCCGACATGTACCTATACATCAAAGGGAGTCTATAAAAGACGATGTCACTACACATTAAGAAATGCTCTTACAGCTGTGTAATATGTTATTCATTTACGCCAGCAAAAAACTTCCACCTGCGAATTTACTATCCTGATAAAGCAGGATCTAATATTCTAAAAATAAACAACACAAACATTAACTCGGGAGAAAGATACGTTGTTACTGCCGTGAGGACACTCAATTTCTGCCATATATCTGGCGCGGTGACGCTAACACGTAAGGTTATTTTTTAAATTGAATTTATTCATGTCTATATGACACTATCGAGACAAGAAGAGTAACTGATCTCGTGCTTTACAAACAGACAACGGCACAGAACAGCGGCTCACTAAAGCATCGATAACAAAACTTACAGAAACAAGTTTTTCCTGTGTTGGCATCTGCGCGTGCACGGTCTAATTTGAGCAAAACTGCGTTTTGATTATTTAGCCTTTCTATATCTGACTGCTCCAGTACATTGTGATTTGTCTGATAAATTGTTTAGAAAAATGAGTTTGATGTGAAAAGAGTGCAATTTGTACTAGCATATACATTTACTTTTTCTAACTACATTTGACAATACATGTATCTATATGGTGTATGTATAATTCTGCAATTGGGTATATAACATCATTAAAAGATGCACCATCGGCCTAGCTATCTCTACTGTCATGATTACGACGCCACACTTATTTTTCGAGTTCAATCGCTCTCATATTGTTTTGGAAGCATGCTGTGATCGTGAAAAATAAGTGTTTCTAGCATATTAAAGTGCTTCAATGTGACATTTCTATTCCAGGTTGTTAGTGGTGCTGGTACGCTTTTCGTGGCCTTTTCGGGTGTCGAAGTGGTGGCAAGCAGTACAGAAGACACAAAGGAACCTCTGAAGGTCACGGTCAGCGCCATATTTACCACAATGGCAGTCTGTTTCGCCACTTACTTTGGCGTAACTTGCGCCCTAACTCTGGCCTACCCATGGAGCAAACTCACGGACGAAGTTGCTCTACCATTAGCTTTTGAGGCAAGGAACATTGACGGATCGAAATACGTGATTGGGATAGGAGGAATATGTGGATTGATTGCGTCTACACTCGGATGTATATTTGCCGTTCCTAGAATATTATATGCAATGTCAAACGACAAAGTTATATCCAAATGCCTTGGCCATAATCCTGTTTGTAAAAATAAATCGGGCATATCGTGTTTTGGTGTGGTGTTTGGAGGAATTGTGTCGGCAGCGTTTGCTATGTGTTTCTGTCTAGAAGTTCTGATCGAAATGATGGCTATCGGAACCCTTTTATCATTCTCGATGGTGTCTCTGTGTGTGTTGTGTCAGCGGTATCAGCCAACCCATATCGGCTTGTACCAGGAGTATGATTCAATGGACGATAGTCGGTATATGCAATGTACAGAATTTGTTTATGATTTACCATACAGTTCCGGAAGTTATTCCACAGATATACCACCTAGGCTTAAAAGTCGTTCGCACCAAAACATGTGTGATGGAACGGAATCTCAGCCACTCACTAGTGGTGTGCAAAGAGGTATGACGTATCAGAAAATGGACAGCGTTGTCAAGACAACATCTTCCGGAAGTATCAGCAGTCTATTTCAAGTTCCCAATGACATTCCACTAGAACCTACAAGTAGAACGTTACGTACAGCTTCCATAGCTCTTGTTGTGTATATAGTCTCGTGTCTAGTGCTAGCCTTGTTTGTCAAGCTTGCCGGATGTTACGTCACAAACGTGTCGTGGTGGGCTTTAGTTGTAATACTTTGTTGTGCGGTATCCTTGGTTACAACGACAATATTAATAACCAAACAGCCACAAAATCAGACCCGACTGATATATCGTGCTCCTTATGTTCCTTTTGTGCCATTGACATCCTTACTGCTGAATATTTTCATGATGACGTCATTATCTTATACCGTGTGGCTGCGGTTTTCCCTATGGTTACTTGTAGGTAAGTAAAACAAGTCAGTTTTAATCGTTACATTCCATTTTCGTTTATCCAGATACCACTGATCCACATAGGAATAGCATTGTATGTAAACTCTTACAGTCGTCTTTGCTTTGAACGACTTGGATTTTCTTCTTTAGTATGGGATAAATCGTCCTAGTTGCGACCAGTCATTTGTAAAGGGGGTCTAGAGGGACACAAGCCCAATACGGAAAGGAATATTAAAGACGATTTATTTAATTTTTTTGATAAATTAATGTTATGAGCAATTATAAATCCACACATTTTGCAAATAATTGTATGCAAAAATATTGGTGACCTCAGTGTTATCATCAAACAGCTTTTAAATATTTTGCAATTCCATCAAATGTAAAACATCATTTGAATAGCCATTAGCAGTCTCTCCAAAGTACAGTAAAGTAACAACTGTATGTAACCGTGGGTCATGTACCAGTTTGTTACGAGTCCAAACCTATGAAAGGTTGTAAAAACATTTTGGAAGAATGTACACACATCACATTTTTGATTATTTTATGATTGAACTAAACATATTTAGTTCCGTCCCGCTTACGGACCATAGTAGCTTTAATGTTTTAATAACATTTGCAGGTGAGTTTAGATTGAATATACACATATTTTAACTAATTTAACAAAAGGGTTACATGTCGTTTTCCTTTTGTTCTTCATTCAGCTGAGACACAATGGGCTATTTTGGGCATGTCTGATATCTCATTATTCAGTCTCTTTCATATGAATTTCAATGACATGTACATTAGTGCGAGTACATTTATTTTTAACGGTCATCATATTGATTTCCTATTTAGGTCGAGTTACCGCTGCAGCTAAGACAACAGGCTTACGTATGTCTAGAAGTACTCGTAACATATCTCTTCAACTGCCTAACGTCATAAAACCACGATCAATAACTGCTTGAAAGACAGCTTAATTGCACATATCACAAGTCACATATCACAAGTCGCAACTTAAAACTGACGTTAATTCGATCTGCTTTGGAATGCGCAGGCTGTTACTCATTATCGTTACTAGTTGATGTAAGGCTTTCTTCGAGGGTTTTATTTTTGAGCATGAAATAAAGTTGAGAAAAACTTTTTTAAAAAGTGTCATAAAGACAACAATAGTCCATATCATGTTTTCTGTTAAAAACACATTCCTTTTACGTCAAGCGTTTGGTATAATCGTTAAACATGTAAAAAAAATATTACACCACGTGAAGATTATCATTATATCAAGTACAAGTATCGTCAATGTGTGTTATTAGCATTAACGTGTTATTTGGCATCACATAACATTTTAAATATCAAATGACTTGTGTATTACACCTTCCATTAAAGCATTGTTATGGACGTATAATTTTTATCTGTCTGATACACATATTGCACTGACCGCATTTTCGATCATTTGCGATCGTTGCAAAATGGGGGGGATATTTTAAAAAGAAATAAATCCAAGACATTAGTGATCATTTTTTTCCTAACTTCGGAAAAGGGAAATTACCCTCCCCGAAATAAATCCATAAATGAATATCACAGCTTACAACTTATAATTGAATCTAATCTTAGTAATGTAGGAAATAGTTAAAATTTGTTAGGTCTGACATGTGGTAATTGCTGTGGTTTTGCATTTATTCCGCAATATCTGAAATGAAAATCGTAAATGTATCGGCGACTCATGTATTCCAAAATGGTCGTCTAACAGTGAACAGATACTCAGGAGACACTTGTATATGAGAATTGCGTTTGTTACTACAGCTATATCAAAATGGTTAATTGATACGCATTTACTGATCAGAATAAGCAGCGCAATATATACTGCACAGCTGTTTAGGTGGATATGTATATATACACCATTTCGATATTCATCAAATACGTGTAATCATAACAACTGGTTTCATTAGCCCGAGAAGATTGTACAAAAGACAAACAAGAGAATTGCACCTTTTGATAATTTGGAATTAAATGCAGTAGAGCCAAACGATGAATTAAACTGCATCATACTGCTATTTCGTCCAAGGATTCGCCAGGGACGTTGAGGGCCTAAATTTGAAGCCTAGGAAGCGACTAAGGAAAATCTAAAGAGATCAAAAGAAAAGTCAAAATCGAGACAGGGAGGTGCAGCAGCCCAATAATTAAATAAATAAGATAATTAATTTATATATACAGTGTGGTTGATATATATATATATATATTTATATATTTCAGGTTTGCTTCTGTACTTTGTTCATGGAATTCACTCCAGCGCGGAAAGCAACGTTGACGAACAAGAAGTGGTGTTATATGCAATAGGAGAACAAGATGAAAATTAAAACATGGGATCAACCACAGACTACAAGTGACTTTTGCCAACTAGACTTCATGTTAAAAAAACCAATGGTTTTCTCTCTGTATACGTATCCATATCCATTAGAAGTATCGTCACGTAATGTGTAATCTCTGAAAGAAAATCAATAACTGTTCCCGTGTCTGGATTCAGTGTAATAGCCGATTTCTTTGAATCTTCAGGTTTTTTATATGAAATATTTAAAAGGCATACGATATAATATAGCGAGAGCTGAATCATGAATTTGAAAAAGACAACTTTTTATGTCAGTCATACCAATTACATAATATACAACACTGGGGTGTTCAAACATATTTCTATTCAAGATTGCAATTACGCATGTCTGCTTTTCATAAATAAGTGCTGGATTTTGTTTGAAGAAATTATTTTCCTAATTAAGATACTTCCATAACATTCTTTGTGCTGTGCTGAAATCGTTTCCTATCGATTTTACAGTTAAGTTTGTATATTTATGTATAATTTGTTACTTAATAAGTGGTGATAAAATTAACACAAGTTAACTTCTTTGTGCCAAATAAGAATATGATCTAATCAATAGTATGTCTCCAACGTATCCGACTCCCTAGCCTATGCTTGCTAGTTCGAGAATGATCATATACTACATTTTAAATAAACTGGTGAATACAATTTCAACATTTTCACAACCTTTAACTTAAGAGATATCAAAATTAAACGTGCATTTTAAACGAGCAGTATGTAATGTGATATAACTGATTCATTCTTAAATTCATATCTTAACCCGTACGTTAAATAGAAACCGTTTCCATCTACAGTGATCAGAAAGGGTTATGATGTCAATATTGCGAGCTTTTGTTTAGGTGCGAGTCAATTAATGCCGATTTCACTCGCAAATATTTATATTTAAATTCAGTTTTACAACTTCTTATTAACCATCCGGATTAAAAAGGTTTCATTTCATGCTAAAATTGTGCGTTGTATGACAAATGTTTTATTTATCGGTCGTTTGACAGCTTTTCAATCCTTAAGAAACAAAATACTTGCAGAGGCAACAGACATATATGTATAGATTTTTTTCTCGTACATTTGTTAGATACCACTGGATGTTTTGAATTTGTGGTATAAAAATTTGTATATACAAAGATATATTTTTGTATGTAAAGAAACCATTCATTGTCGCAAAGGTAATACATTTTTCCCCATTATTCATATCGAATTAATGTTGAACAAAACAGACAATCTGTTTTAAATATTCATTTCCCGACAATTTTGATAAGATAAACTGTTTGCGATATTTGGATCTTGGATATTTAATAAATTTTTAATTGAACACGTTATTACTTTTGTGACATTGATTTTTACACATGTAAATAGCTATGTACTTGTAATTAACATTCGTATACTGTCTGTAATCTACATGCATGTTAGACTCTACATCAGCCGCTTATCTCAATCTTTTCCTACAACGAAACCTCCAAAGTGCAAGATAAATGTGATGTCCTACCCATTTCTGGATAGCAACATACCTGCATCCCGAGCCTATGGTGTCTACATTCCGCAGTTGATTCAAGAGTCTTATCTTACAACATCTTTCAGATAATTTAGAATTCTATAAATCTGATGAATTTTAAAAGGGGTCTTTAGGCTTGTAACATTACGGTGAAATACGTTTCGAGTAGACAGAAGGTCAAAAAAAATATTAAGCGGTGAATGGCTAATCCGCATCCGCTGGATGTGTTTAATGACGATTGACAGTCTTTATCACTCACTATCAATCTACCTCTGGGCTGCGTGTTCGGGGCACACGTGAGACATTCACCGGCTACTGGTGTTTTTTTCTCAGAGAATTCAGGCTTTCCTCCACCTTTCCAACCAGGCATGTCCTTAAATCACATTAGCTGTTTACAGGTCAAAAAAGACAATGAAGTAAATCAAACCGCATAATAATAAGCCACATCTAAAACAAAGCTACCCTTATTTCATTAATCATAATCAGACCATATTTATTTCACGAGTGATTGAACATAATATACAGCTGATTACAATTCAATGTATCAATGTAACATTTTCTTTGATCGGATGTTTATATGGCCTAGTGGAGTAATTAGATCACGATTCCAATTTTTTCCGTTGTGACGTCAAAATTTAAAGGCTTCATATTCATGAGAACGTCATCAAAGAAAGAATAAGCTACTTTACACTTTACAGCTCTTCCGCAACTTTTAATCTAAGTAATGAAGTAAACATACTGCTTTCGATGAAAAAATAGATTGTATTCATTTCCCAACAATTGCGAATCAAGTTTGTCTAACATATTAATCACTCTTATTCCATTTTATCATATTAAAATCTTATTTTTTCCTTCTACTATAGTAGAAGATGTATGAAGGGAGATCACTCCGATTCAATGTCGTCCTCGTGTCGCAGGTGGTGGCATTCGCTATTTCTTATTGAGTATTCGTGCTAGTGTAAAAGGGGACAAGGGTTAAAAACAAAGTACAGAAAGGAAAGGCCGACAGCATGCATGTATTTTTCGGGTTAATTCAATTCATTATAATCAAGGTAATCATGTATTAACTTGACACTTCAAAATGCCTTCCATAGCCTTATCCTGCAACAATCAGGAAACAAATTACACCAACGTGATAATAACTGTTACTGACCCAATTGGACGCGCGTGCCGAGATTTATTATGGGAGAAAAACGTAATATTTTGAGAAAATAAGGTGGTCAAAATTGTGAAGAAAGAGGTGACGTCACTAATTTATTTGATGTAAATGTTTTAATAGAAATGGAATCACATATATTTAATTATTAACTTTATTTTGAACGCATTGTAATTCCGGTTGTTTTTCAATAGATCTTTATGGTGTAAGGAAGACACACTAGAAATTAACACATTTCCTAGCAGATTTTGAGTTAGTAAATAGGGTTGAATAATAAATTACGCTGAAACATAAAAGTCCTTCATGGGCACGTCAGTGATGCTAAGGGCCTAAATTGTTGAAATGATATCCAGGATAATTTAGCTAATACTAATTGTTTTACCTTGAATAGCGTTCGAGTTGATACTAATGGTGTTGGATTAACTATGGAGATGTCCCAGTCCTGCTTTACACATTGTTTATATGTTCATTCCAATTGTCCATTACTATTGAATAAAACCATTATCTGATGATAGCAATAATATGGTGTTTCGTGTTTGTCTTAAATTCCGTAAAACACATGCAAAACACTGGAACCTGGATAATCCAAACAGGGCACTGAGGGAAGCGAACAAAGAGCACATGGAAGTAACTTAGGTCAACACATAAAAGGACATAAGGCCCATCAACCAGTGAAAGACACATTTATTCAAAAGGAAATAAAAACAAACTAAAAGGTAAAAGACAAATGCTAAAAATCTTAAATGGTTATATTATCACAAAATGGCAAGTCATTCGATGATTTTATTAAACGTGTTAAATGTGTAACGGTGAATGGCCCATCACATCCTATGCACCGAAGATTATCTTCACCTTTCCACATATATGTGTAAGGTATGTATGGCCCATCCGATGAGTGGCAAGGACAATTTCCTCTCTGTGAATATCTCTGATAGTTTAAAATCAGTAAGATGAAGTTTAAAAACAGCAGGTGGTAGCTATAAAGCTTCCTTTCCAGCATGATCTGTTTTTTCATTGCCTGGTATTCCCATGTGCCCATGAACCCAGAAAAAAAATTAGGAAAGTTTGAGGCAAGTTCATGACATAGAATTCATGTATTAAGAATAAAAATATTTTCGATATTTCTATTGCTAAGACTGTACAGTACAAAAAGAGAGTCTGAATGGATAACAACTCTCATTTCTTTGTTTGAATACATTCCAGAGCGAGGTAGATAGCTCGCGCTTCCGCCGAGAATATTGAGGCGTTGTTCGGTATCCGGAATCCATAGGCTTCACCTTGTGTAACCATGGCCGCGGCAACTTTATCATTATCTTTTGAACCATCAGCATATAGTCGTAGAAATGTTTTATATTTTAACTGCAATTTCGAGAAGGATGAACGAAAGGTGCAAACGTCAGTGTCTGATTTAACCATTTCATTAAGTGAAAAGTCAACTTCAGGTGAATTCAAGAGCCAGGGTGGAATTTCTATCGTTCCAAATGACTGAATTTGGCCAACATCAATATGTGTTGTGCTTTGCAAAAGAGCGGAAACCTGAATACCGAATGGTACAATGGTATTTGGTTTATATTGAAAGATGTTTTTTTTTATATATATATTTTGGATCAAATACAAGTGAAAAAGCAGGATTTGAAGGATTCGACTTTAGCTGAATGGTGTATTGCAAAGCCACTCTATATCGAATGCTATACACTGATGGTTCGTCAGCATCTATATAGAGGCTTGCTGTAGGTGTGGTCGTAATAGCTCCCAGAGCGAGCCTGAGGCCCTGGTGATGAACAGTGTCTATTAATTTTAGATATGAAGGTCTTGCAGATCCATACACAATGGAACCGTAGTGGAATTTTTATCTAATAAGAGCTCTATAATCTAAGCAAAACTTTTCTTTCAGCTCCCCAACCAGTATGGGACACAACCTTTAGAATATTTAGTGCATTAAGGCATTTGGCTTTAAGGTATTTTATATGTGGAAGAAACAATTTCCTGTCGAATATTACACCTCAGAATTTGGTTTGCTCAACAACCGGAATGGGTACACCACATCTTCTCAAGGTAATAATATGATCATGTAAGATTTAAATGTTGTGCTATTACGTATTTTGTATCATTTTTACCATTTTAAATCAATCTCAAAAGAGAAACGTTCTGAGCATTGCATCGTACAACAAAATCACATTTCATTTTTCAACAATATGGGGGATTATAGTTGGCGTAAGGGCTTGACTTTTGGTCCTGTACAACCTGGCCATTAACTGGGTATTTGAATTAAAGCAGGAAAATTTCATCAAACTTTGGGGAAATATTTTTGTACACGGCATTACAGATTATCAGGAAAATC